TACAGTTTATTTAAAATATTAGGGAGAGTGCAGTCCGGCTCCTTCTGCTCATGAGGCACACCTCTGCACTTCTATTCTTGGGGTTTTGAAAACCTCAGTCTGAAGCAGGGGGCAGAGAAAGGTTTTGCAGGCTAGACCTGCGTCTGATTCTCATCATCCCTTTACTGTCTTTCTCCGGGTAGAATACAAAGTCATGCCTATTGTACCTATCACGTGCCTGGCATCCATGCAGCAACACCTGCCTAGCCCCCAGGGCCATCCACAGGAAGTAGACAATTTTGCAAAAGACTACAGAGAAAACGGACACAAAGTTTGTGATACAAAGTCTATTCTGGGTATCCCTGGAAAGAAGAAGGGGTGGACCTGCTGAAAAAAGAGACTTCACCCCGCCCTCCTGCCCGCCCCGCCTGCCCCACCCCAACCAGGTTCCAGCCCAAGTCATTTAAAAGGTTACTGGCAGGGTTTCCAAACTGAGGCAGCAGCAGGTGGCCCTCTGAAGAGCAGAGGCGGTGCTCCGCTCTCAGGCCCAGGATGTCCATGTCAGAACAAGGCAAGAATGTTCAGCCCAGTGGCGGGGAGGTGAGGCTGGAACTGAGGCCAACAGCCCAGTGGAACCAGGGCTGCAGCAACGCAGCCTTCCAGGTAAGCAGGGCTGAAGGGGACCAGGGAACCTGTTGGTCTTCACATCTGGCAAGCTTAGTAACAGGAGCCGTGGGCTCACTGAGCCACAGAAAGAATGTTAATTCTGGAATGGGTACACCTTAAGCCCATTGTTTTTTCTGACTTGGACTCTTCTGGTTGGTAAACCTGAAAAGTGTCTTTTAGGTCCCCTGTTGATGTGGATTGTGCTCGTCACTAGGGAAACAAACTATTGCCCTCTCCCTCTTTTGCCCCTGGACTCACAGCAAGTTCAGGATTTGCCCTCAGGTTCTGTCCCCAAGATCTGGACAAGGGAAGGGCAGAGACCTCAGACCCCAGTAGTAGAACCGTGAATGGGTTGTCAGCCCGGGTGGAATTTAGCCCAGGAGCCTGCCCAGGACAGCCTACTTTCGTAATTCTGTGTCCTCAGCCAAGACTACCGAGTAATTAATACTCGGGGCTGGGTGCCACAGGTGGCCCGAGAGAGAGGCCAGTTTCTGTGCTTGCTTGCTTCAGTGCTCTGCCTGCTGAGAACCTGGGTTTGAGTTGCTCCTTAATCGGCTTGCAACATGAGAACTTTGCAAAGATAGGAAGCCAACCTGAGCAGGGCTCAGTAACCCTTGGGCTCTGTGGGTACTTAATGGGCAGAACACAACTTTTGAAGGCTAGCACAAGAAGGGTAAGGTAGAGTGCTTGGCCTGAGCTTGGTCTCTCCCACCACGAAGCTACTCCAAGTTCCAGAAGCCCAGGTTTGATTGTCTAGCTATAGTCACAACAACGGCCATCCCATGGTTTATAGGTAGAAGGAGGCCTGCATATTTAACTGATAAAAAAGACAAGCTGGTGGGGAGGGGAAAAGCACATAGTTTTTATTGGTATTTTAAATTTCATGTTAGCCGGGCGTTGGTGGCACACGCCTTTAGTCCCAGCACTCGGGAGGCAGAGGCAGGCGGATCTCTGTGAGTTCGAGGCCAGCCTGGTCTCCAGAGCGAGTGCCAGGATAGGCTCCAAAGCCACACAGAGAAACCCTGTCTTGAAAAACAAACAAACAAACAAATTTCATGTGTATGGTGTCTCACAGAGTTCGAGGCCAGCCTGGTCTCCAGAGCGAGTGCCAGGATAGGCTCCAAAGCCACACAGAGAAACCCTGTCTTGAAAAACAAACAAACAAACAAACAAACAAATTTCATGTGTATGGTGTCTCACAAAAAAAAAAAAAAAAAGGTGAAGAGTCTAGAGGTGTGTGAACTCCAGGGCAGGTGCGCTGCTTTATACCAAGGGTTGAGAAGCAACCAGAAAAGACAAGGGCCTGGGTTTTAGGGTCAGAAATGATCTCAGCAACTAGAAATAGATGGAAGAGTTAATGGAAGATAAGGGTTGTTGTCTTGAGGTCTATTTGTGCAGACTTCTCTGCTGATGGGCTGAGTGCACCATAGGAGGGAAATCTGTGGGCTGCATTAGGAAGGGCAGGAGGGTGGAGTCTGCTCTTTCTTCAGTGCCCTGGGTTCATCACATTCTTAGGTTTGTTTGAAAGGTGGCACTTCCTGACTGCCTTCAGGAGCAGGAAGGGAAGGGGGACTTAAACACAGGAGCTGCCATTCGGAAGAAAATGAAGGTTGGTGCAGGATACAGTCAAAGTGACTGTGGCAGTGATTTGGGGGGAAGGGCTCTGTGTCACTGGTACAATGTGCCGTGAGGGTTCCATTCCTTTTTAACCCTTCCTGTTCCTTCCCAGTACAGACACCATCCCTGGCAAACAGAGTCCAAATTACTCCTTCCAAAGTTTGCTTTACGAAGGTTTGTGGGCTTTTTGTACACCCACATTTACCAGGTAGAATCATTAGCTGCCCCCCCCCCCAAAAACAATGGCCAGCACTAAGAGGGAAGGCTAGTTCAAGCAGATAGCCATACCTTTTGCCCTCAAGAAGCAGAACAGGGCAGCAACTCACAGAAAGATGCAACAGAACAAAAGGACTTAAAAATCAGCACAAAGATAGAGCTGAACCTACTGGGGAGCCATGAGCAAACCCTAGACCAGTAAGGGGTTCGGGTGGAACAATCTGATGAGCGGAAAGGGGCCAGTGGGGCTTCAGAGGCAAAGAGCTGTCGGTCTGCAGGCCTTGGGGCATCAGAGGGCAATGCGAGTCTTCAATGGGGGTTGGCGGCACCTGGTGATGCGGTCTCCGTGAGCTAAGGTGCTTAAGAGGAAATCTCCATGGACAGACAGTTAAAGGTGATTCTTGTGACCATATTGAAGGATGGCTTTGTGGACAGGACACCAGCAAAGAGGCCAGGACAGTGAGCACAGGTGCTGTATCTAGACACCAACAGGGAATGAACTGCTCCAGGGTGAAGTCTCAGGGTGGGGACAGGGTGTGTAGGCTTCTCCTTCTGAACTTGCAGGTTTCCTCTGTTAGATAGGATCAGAATGCTACCTATGCGGGAACTATTGAGAAAACCCCGCGTGCAGACGATTTACTGCACCACAGAGAAGTGTAAGTACGTGTTTGTGGAAAACAGTGCCTGGCACACAACAGCGTAATCATAACAGTGGCACCCGCTGTCCTGGCAGTGGAAAGTGGAATTTTCTATCCCAGGATGTCAGAGATTCCCATGGTTTAGCAAGGACGTCCAGAGTGAGGTTGGTTCAAGGGAAGGAATGAATTCCATCTGAGGCCTGCTGGTTGAGATTCCAGTGTCTCCATCAAGGTTGTAGGTAGATCCACTGGTGAGGCTCAAAGAATAAGGAAGGGGTGGGATTTGGAGAAGGAGGCAGAAAGAGCCACTGAGAGAGCTGAGCAGAGTCAGGCAGGATTGGGAGTCGTCAAGAGCCTCGGGGTCAACAGGGAGAAAGCCTGAAGGGCAGAGGAGCCTGGAGGACCAGGCACCAGGATCCTCCCTGCCCACACAGGCCAAGGCCTCCCTGGGATGGTACCCTTAACCTCCGTATGGATCCCACACAAAACACATCCCTTGCTGTCTTCACACATCTACAAAATCAGATGCTTTGTTCCGGCCTCTGTGGTGGGCTTTCTAAGATTTCACTGTGGTGTTGTGGACAATTCCTCGGTCCCCACAGCTGCACTGACATAAGTTCTGGGTCCCAAAAATATTACTGTGAATGGACTGTGCATTATCCTATTCATGCTTCTAAAATCAGGGCAGGACCAGGCACACTCGTACACCCTCCTGGAACACCAGAAACAATCTACTCTGGGTTGTGCTTAAGAGTGGGATTTTAGGACATTGAAATATGTCTATACTTTTGTTGTTGCTGCCTTGGCATTTTGTTTTGTTTTGAGGCAGGGTCTCGTGTAGCCCAGGTTAGCCTCGGACTCTCTGTGCTTGAGGATGACTTCTTCCTAAGGCTGGGATGAGGGGTGTGTGCTCAGCAATGCCTGGACCAAAGGGAGAACATTGTGCATGCTGAGCAAGCTCTAACTGAGCCCACATTAGCTTCCACTGATAATGCCAAACTGGCTTCCTATATGATTCTCCATTTTAGACCCATCAGAAGGGCGTGAGCTCTTGTTTCTCCTCCAAGGCTTCACCAATTTTCAGTTGGCTGTGTAAGTTCGGCCACTCTGGTGGGTGTGTAGCAATGCAATTATACAATTATCAATTAACACAGCAGACCGAGAAATACACCATCAGGCAATTTTGTTGTTACACACATCTCCTCTTCAAACACACCTGACAGTGTAGGTCAGCCTCTGGGCTCACCCTAGTGAGATGTGGTGAGCAGGACGTGCACAAGCCCTCTCCAGGGTAAACAGCCTCCCTCTGTAAATTAAGGCAGACTATACACGCAGGGGCAAGAGAGTTGGCTCAGCAGGAAAACGGGGCTGCTGCAGCGCCCAGTGACTGAGGTCCATCCATGGTAGGAGAAAATACGTACATACATACATACATACATACATACATACATACATACACACACAATAAATAAATAGCAAGTTGTTTTTAATGTACATGGTGACCCAAGCCTACAATTGTAGCACTCGGAGGTTAGAATGGGGAGTCACAAGTGTAAGGCTATCCTAAGTTAATAGCAAGTTCCAGGCCAGCCTGGGCCACCCAGTGAGACCTTTCAAGTGAGAGTCTCACTCAAAAAGT